CCGCGGGCCGAGAGCTACGGGTGCGCCCTGGCCGACGCCACGCGGGCCCTCGAGCCCGACGCCGCCTACGTCAAGGGCTACTACCGGCGCGCCGCCAGCAACATGGCCCTGGGCAAGTTCAAGGCCGCCCTGCGCGACTACGAAACGGTGAGGGCTGGCCCCGGCCCCCCGGGGTGTCAGTTGTGTTTAGGGAGCGCTGCTGTAGTCCTCTGGGGTGTCACTGCGTGCCTCCAGCCGTGTCTGGGGACCCCGTGTCATCCTCTGGGGTGTCACTGCGTCCCTACAGCTGTGGTTAGGGACCCTATGTCGTCCTCTGGGGTGTCACTGCCTCCCTATAGCTGTGTTTGGGGTCCCCGTGTCATCCTCTGAGGCGTCGCTGCATGCTTACAACCACGGTTAGGGACCCTGTGTCGTCCTCCAAGGTGTCGCTGTGTGCCTACAACCGTAGTTAGGGACCCCATGTTGTTCTCCAGAGTGTCACTGCGTGCCTACAGCCGTGTTTGGGGACCCTGTGTCGTCCTTTGAGGTGTCACTGCGTCCCTACAGCCGTGTCTGGGGACCCCGTGTCATCCTCCGGGGTGTCACTGCATCCCTACAACCATGGTTAGGGACCCCATGTTGTCCTCTGGGGTGTCACTGCGTCTCTACAACCATAGTTAGGGACCCTACATCGTCCTCTGAGGTGTCACTGCATCCCTACAGCTGTGTTTGGGGACCGTGCGTCATCCTCCGAGGTGTCACTTTGTCCCTATAGCTGTGGTTAGGCACCCCGTGTCGTCCTCTGAGGTGTCATCGCATCCTGACAGCCGTGTTTAGGGACCCTACGTTGTCTTCCGGGTTGTCATTGCGTCCCTACAACCGTGGTTAGGTACCCTGCGTCATCCTCCGAGGTGTCACCATGTCCCTACAGCTGTGTTTGGGGACCCCATGTTGTCCTGTGGGATGTCACCGTGTCCCTGCAGCTGTGGTTAGGGACCCTGCATCACCCTGTGGGGTGTCACCGCATCCCTATAGCTGTGGTTAGGGACCCTGTGTCGTCCTCCGGGGTGTCACTGCATCCTGACAGCTGTGGTTAGGGACCCTGTGTCGTCCTCCGGGGAGGTCATTGTGCCCCAGGAGCTGTGTTTAAGGACCCTATGTCACTCTCTGAGATGTCACCGTGTCCCTAGAACTGTTTAAGAACTCTGTATTGGTCGCTAGGGCGTCACCATGTCCCTACAGCCGTGTTTAGGGACCCTATGTTATTTTCTGGGGTGTCACCACATCTCCGCGGCCGTGTTTAGGGACCCCACATCGTCCTCTGAGGTGTCACTGCGTCCCTACAGCCGTGTTTGAGGACCCCACGTCACTCTATGGAGCACCGTCCTGTCCTTATGAACATGTTTGGGGAGCCGGTGTCACCCTCCCACGTGTCACTGGTTTTCCGCAGCCATGTTTAGGGACCTCGCATCACCCTCTGGGGTGTCACCACGTCTCTAGAGCTGTGTTTAAGAACCTAGCATCATTGTCTTGGGTGTCACCACGTCCCTACAGCCGTATTTAGGAATCTGATGTCACCTTCTGTGGTGTCGCCCTGTCCTTACAGCCGTATTTAGAGATCCTATGTCACCTTCTGCACTGTCACTGTGTCTCCATGGCCATTTGTAGGGACCTCGTGTCATCTTCTGGGGTGTCACTGCAGCCCTACCGCTGTTTTTAGAGGCACATTGTCACTCTCTGGGCTGCCAGCACATCCCTACAGCTGTCTTTGGGGACCGCGTGTCACCCTCCAGGGTGTCACCGCGTCCGTACAGCCAAGGTCAGGGACCCCGCGTCGCCCTCCAGGGTGTCAGTGTTCCCTACAGCCGTGTTTAAGGAACCCGTGTCGCCTTCTGGGGTGTCACCGCGTCCCTACAGCCGCCTTTAGGGACCCTGCGTCGCTCTCCGGGCCGTCACCGCATCCTCGTGGCTACAGGGACGCTTGGGGACCCCCTTGTCCCTTGGTGTCACCGCCCCCCCTGCCACCGCAGGACCTTCGGGGACCCCCTCGTCCCCCCCC